ACACATTCTGAGACGAACTGAAATGAATTGTGAACTTTATTAACATTTTAAATCGTCGTCCTCCCATTTTCACCTCAAACATTTGGGGAAGCTGTGCCTCCGCTGCCTCCCCCGACGATCCGCCACTGCTTAACTGACTTAAACACCTACATATCTAAAAAAAACCAAACCATGTTTCATTTGTATCTATTGCTTGTAATTTGTTCTTATTTACTACTGTTCGTTTTGATTAAGATTCCCCACTGCAAAAGTGGACATTTCTTACCCATATACAATTGTATTACTTTTCTTCAGGAGCTGCATAAAATCGAACATAAGAATGTTGCCTTAATATTACGGGCAATTGAACATCTCATTAGTAAAGATAAAGACAGCATCCAGAAACTTGTTCATCACGGCTTGGTTGTGAAGATAAGTATATTTGTCTAATTCTGATTAAAATAAACCTCTAAGTTACTGGTCAGTATTTTAATTTATAGTCTTCTCGCTTTTTAAATGTTGAATTGGTTTGAGATTTCGTCAGAGCATCTTAAAGGACAGCACAAACCACCTAGGTACGCCATTAATCCAACGGAGGCACGAGAGCTCAGCACTCACCCGGCCTCCCCCTCCCCTTCTCTATCATTTAGCGGTTGTAATTACATCAGCAGATTCGGCACATTCGCGATAGAAAAGCGGCACTTTCCAACTTCAGTAACATGTTATGGTGTTACAGCTGTGAAATAAAAAAAACACATTCTGAGACGAACTGAAATGAATTGTGAACTTTATTAACATTTTAAATCGTCGTCCTCCCATTTTCACCTCAAACATTTGGGGAAGCTGTGCCTCCGCTGCCTCCCCCGACGATCCGCCACTGCTTAACTGACTTAAACACCTACATATCTAAAAAAAACCAAACCATGTTTCATTTGTATCTATTGCTTGTAATTTGTTCTTATTTACTACTGTTCACTTGTCTTTAATAGTATTTTAACTTTGTTAGGCTAGTAGTTTTTGCTTTGGTATTGAAATTGGAATTGTAAAATTGAACTGGTGTTTTGGTGTCATAAGCATATTTATTAGAATACAAGGGTATAACATGAGTCAAAACTTTGTATTTTTTTATGTATTTTTATTTTTATTTATTTTTTTATTTATTATTATTTTTTATCCCAGTGAAATATGTATATAGTCAACTGAAACTAAAATTAAAACAAACAAAAAAATGTAAGTTACATTACTTGAAATAAAATATTTCCATGTTACTTGAAATAATATAAATGTTAACGAATAAATAATTTCAATTTCTATTTCTTATTCAATTTCTTAAGCATCAAAAGAAAAAAAAAAAACATGATCTGGAAGAACGGTGCCCAAATTTCTGTCTTGCATACCCTGTCTTGTCTGGAATGTTAATGCTTTATTAAACATTTATTTGTTAATTCGGTAGTGTTAATTTCAAAATCCCAATTTTTATATTGTGCCAAAGCAGGTGTGTAGCAGCTCATAATGTAATAACTGAACATTATGCAATAAGTATTACATTATTATTGTAATTGTTCATAATGTAGTAATTTTCTCAAAACGTAATAAAATATTGAGCTCATAATGTAATAACAATTATTACATTATGGGAAATTTATTACAATATAAACACCAACAATATTGTCATGTTGTCACAATTGTAATAGGCTTTTTAAACATAAACATTGGTTTAAACTACCTATGAAATGCACCAGATTTAAATATTCATGCATTTATTATTATTATTATTATTATTATTATCATCATCATGGTACAGTACTTATTTACTTATGTACACTTATATATACATAAGACAAAGACACTTAAGATTTAGTTAAAAGTGTGTATATATATATTATATCCTTTTAGAATTTGTTTGTTGGTGTGTATACACACAAATTAATTCTAAAAGGAAATATATATTACTTTTTAGAATGAATTTGTACATGAATGAATGAATGAATGAATGAATGAATGAATGAATGAATGAATGAATGAATGAATGAATGAATGAATGAATGAATGAATGAATGAATGAATGAATGAATGAATGAATGAATGAATGAATGAATGAATGAATGAATGAATGAATGAATGAATGAATGAATGAATGAATGAATGAATGAATGAATGAATGAATGAATGAATGAATGAATGAATGAATGAATGAATGAATGAATGAAGTAAAGCAAATATGTTCACGTCTGAGATTCATTTTAGCATTTATAGAATAACTAAACTATAGCTGAACTTTAGTGAG